TGGCTTAAGAAGTTGTCTTCAATGCATTCTAGGAACCTGCTGGATTGCCTACAGCTTGCCGTGTGGCTTTTCCAGCAGATGTTGGGGTGGTTGAAGTACCCCAGTAGGACGAGAGACACCAACCACTAGGTTCCCTTTGTTGCCTCTCTCTCCGATTCTTACCCATAAGCTTTCGACCTGCTCGTGGTTATTCTTCAGGGACAGCTCTTCACTCTGTAGTGTTTTCTTGATGTAAAGGGCAACGCCCCCGCCCCTCCTTCCTTGCCTGTCCCTCTGAACAGCCTGTAGCCATCAAGAGCCACATTCCAGTCGTGGGATTCATACCACCAAGTTTCCGTGATGGCAATCAGGTTGTAGCTTCCAGCAGCACGACTGCTTCCAACTCCTCCTGTTTGTTTCCCATGCTGTGTGCGTTTGTATAGAGGCATTTCATCTGAGCTGTCGGCCTTGTTACCTTCATAGCAGAGCACTCCTTTTTTCCCTTGAGGTGCTTCATGGGTATTTTCTTGTTGGCACCTGATACCTTAGGCGCCTCCAGCTCCCCTCGGCAAGACTTCCACATTGCTGCAGTGTCCCTTACCTGCTGCTGGGCAACGGGTTGAGGGCTCCTACTAGTTAGAAGAGTATTCTGAACTAAGGACAGCATTTTTGATAAGACTAATCTTACAGTCCAGAACACACTCTGGACCTCTCCTCTCTAGATGATCAACAGATGTGTAAGTACTGCTAGCATGTATCCAAATACCAGGTAATAAATCACCTTAGGAACTGAAGCCTAGCCACCAAAGACATTAAAGACCATTTTGCTTCATACCCTATCTCACTACTGTTCTTTAAGGTTGTCCTGGTTTTGGCTGGGATAGAATTAATTTTCCTCCCAATAGCCGCTGCGTTTTTCACTTAGTACCAGAAGAATGTTGATAATACTGAGGACTTTCTACAGTTTTCCATATTCAGCTAAAGCGCAGCTATGCAGAAGCTGGGAGGTAGCAGAGTCAGGCAGCGAGCCCAAGCTGGCCAATGGAAATATTCAATACCATGGATGTCATGCTCAGTTTATGAATGGGGGGTTGGCCATGGGGCAGGAAATCTCTCTTTTCTTTGAGTTTGGAGTCTTCCATGAGTTCGGTCTTTTTCCGATAGTTTGGTAAGTTCTGTGAAATTTGCGTTTGGCAAAACTCGTGAGCTCCGGGAAACCTGTGAGTTCCATGATCGCTGCTCGGGGACTGGTTACAAATTTGGTCATTAGGCGGTGAGAAAAATTGTAGTGTGTATAGCTTGTTTTGCATATTCATTATGATGATGATGATGATAATCATCATCATCACTATTATTATTATTTCATTTTTTGTCTTCTTAAACTGTCTTTATCTCAACCCATGAGTTTTATTTTTTTTCCATTCTCCTCCCCATCCCACTAAGATGCAGGAGGAGTGAGTGGCAGTGTCATCCCAGTTGCCAGCTGCCAGGCTAATGCACGACAATGGTATTATCTCAGGGAAGCTGACATTTTGGAATCTGAAGAAACTTTTCTTTCATCTCAATGAGCACAAAGTTGCACACCTCCATATACTTAAAGGATGTGATGTAACATACACAGTGTGCCCTTATTGCTACCTAGCTCTAGATATTCAAAAAGGACACCTTGAACTCAGCAGGTTTAAGACAGCAGAGTGCTGATCTTGTTTCTTTACACTTAGCTGTGTATCATTTCAGT